AATGTGTCTGGGTGGGGAGCATGTGTATGCATAGGGGAACTTTTGTGTGTGTACATGTGTGTATAGGGGAATGTGTGTGTGTGTGCATGCATGCATGCATGTGTGTGTGTGTTGGGGAATATGTGTGCATGCATGCATTGGGGTCAGCCAGCGAGCCAGGGCTCTAGTGGCTCCTGTTTTCATAGAAACACGGGAATCACAGGAAAGAAAGGCTGGAAGGAACCTCTGGAGGTTATCTTTCTAGTCCAACCCCCTGCCAGAGGCAGGATCATCCCTAGTCAAGCCATCCCATACAAACCCTTGTCTAATCTATTACTAAAACTACAGAATCAATTTTTGGTTTTTCTAATTGGGATAGGAGCCACGATGAAAATAAGAGGAGGAGGGAGATTTCAAGTTGCTGCGCTGGACCTCAGTTGTCTTCAGCCTTGCTCTTCAGGCTGGGTCTTAATTTTGTTCTGGGTTTGGATCATGTCTGGGAGGGAGGAAGAGCTTCTCAGGCTGTTTTCCTCTCTCTCTTTCTTTCTTTCCTTCCCCCTCCTCTCCACCAGAAGTTAATTTCCCTGGCACTTTTCTCCCCTCCACACAAAGGTAATTCCCCTATCTCTCCTGCCCGTGCAATTTCATGACACCCAAGGCATTATTGGAGAGAGTCCAGCAGAGGGCAATGAAAATGATGAGGGGACTGGGGAACATGACTTACGAGGACAGGATGAGGGAACTGGGCTTATTTAATATGGAGAAGAGAAGACTGAGGGGGAATTTAATAGAAGCCTTTAACTACCTGAAGAGGGGTCTGAAAGAGGATGGAGCTGGGCTGTTCTCAGTGGCAGCACATGACAGAACAAGGAGCAATGGTCTCAGCAAGGGAAGTTTAGCTGAGGAAAAACTCTGTCATGAGGAGGGTACTCAAGCACTGGAACAGACTAGCCAGAGGTGGTGGAATCTCCATCCTTGGAGGTTTTTAAGACCCAGCTAGACAAAGCTCTGGCTGGGATGATCTAGTTGGGGGCGGTCCTGTTTTGAGCAGGACGTGGCACTAGATGACCTGAGGTTTCTTCCAACCCTCATTTTCTAGGATTTTATGATTATTCACCCTGCTTCTACTCCAGTGCACTGAGAGGGATAGTCCCCCACTGGTTTCCAGCAGTAGACTGTCTGTCTGAAGCAGGGATTCTCAACTTGGAGAGGGTAGGGGGCACAGCCCCCTGTGGGCCCTTGAGATCCCTTCCAGGGAGTGTTATGCAGTGTCAGCACTGGGAGGTAGGCAAACGTGCTTCACAAGATCAACCCAGAGATTTCAAATAGGAATCCACGATGTCAAAAGCGTTCTTCCCCACTGCAGGCTTCCTGAGCTCTCTGCAAGAGAAGAATGGTTCTGGTGGTTTTCTGTAGTCGAGAAACAGGTGAAAACAAAGAGCTGGCATTTTCTGAGGGGTGCCTGGAGTCTAACAAGGGGTGCCTTGAGTTTGCCAAGGGGTGCCTCCAGTCTAAAAGGTTGAGAACCATTGGTCTAAAGGGAGGAGAAGTAATAAAGGTCCAAGCTAGGACTGAGACTCTCTTCATGAGCATATCAAGTTGTGTGAGATGCCCCCCAAGCACAGGTCCCATGATAAATGGCCAACTGCCATTTAAATCTTACTTGATCTGCACCTTGAGGGCTCCTATACACATGCAGGGAAGCTGCTCCAATGCACTGTAATTACAGCGCTCCAGAGCAGACTTGATTTATCCAGTCTGTTAGAGCATGGTAATTACTGCTCTCCAGCAGACTCCAGTGTCACGTGTATCAGCATCCCCACGCTGAAAAATGGCAGCAGGGCACTTAGTCCAAGATGCCATGCCGCCATTTTTCAGCACAGGAACATTGATGCATGTGATGTTCCAGGAGCTTTTAATTAGCATGGCTCCCAGAGCTGGACTAATTAAACCCCCTCCCCCCCCCCACCCCCGGATGTGTATAAACACCCTGAGATATTAGACGAGGTGGTGTAGCAGATCTTGACCTGGCCCTGTGATGTGGGATGAATTTCACCCCAAATGCTTACTGTCTCATTTAGGATGCAGACAGAAGAGCAGATCATAGTACTTTGCAGGAAGCGCTATCAGTTGCAATAATCAGCTGCA